CGGCGCCCCGGGGATGGCCTTCTTGCCTGTGTAAGTCCGTCGGTGATTCCATTCCGTCCATCTTGCCGGAAATAAGCAACGTATAAGACCAATCCTCGTTCCTTCGGGGCCCCCCTCATAGTCCTCAGGAACACGCGCAGCGAGCACTGAACGTGATGGCGCTGGGTGCGACCGCCAAACAACATTGCCGCGCGCGACGGTACGATTCAGCGCGGGCTCGTAGGAGTCCGCCGAGCTGGCCAGCTGGCCAGACAACACTGTCCAGTTGTGGCGGAGCCTTGGGCCGAGCGTCGGCTGTAGCCGTACTTCAGTCGTCTCGGGTAGTGAGTACTGGTAGTCGGGAGGAGTCGCAGCCAGCCTCCAGCAGGAGCACTGACCGGTTGGGTTCGTCAGCCAGCCTGGAAGCCACCACGCATCCGCCGGAGCCAGCATTACACGTATACGTCGTATCTTCATGTTACGACCCGCCACTGGAGTAAGTAGGCGAGCATCCGCTCGATGAATTCCCGCATCCGCGGTCGATCGACCTCAGTTTGCGAACGTCTTCCATGAAGTTATGTAGATACCGTGACAGTAAGTTACTTTCGTGTACATTTCTCCCGCCAACCCGAACCCGTCTCTAAAGGGAAAGTCATTATATTCCGCGGTAAGCCGTTCGGCAGCACGCTTCATGGCTTGGTGGCTGCCGTAGTCCCAGCCCCGGTGCTGGCCATCGCTATCACTGCTTGGGTAGCGGACCGCCAAAGCTTTTCCGACCCTTGCCGGTTGTCACCTGCGCCAAACTCCCTGTCCGACTCTTCCAAGAAGTCCTGCGCTCTCCGGACTCGTTCATCCGTTGCCATTGTTACTCCTGTTGGCGACGCAGGAGGTCACCTCACCGCCCTCCGCTGAGTAAACTCGGAGGCACTACGCTCGCACTCATGAGGGTGCTACGCTTGGTATTGGCGCGTCTCGGCATGACCGAAGCGTCGGCGACGCGAAGGCCGGCGATGCCATGCACCATTTCACGGACGGGCTCCACCGTGCCTGTGAGTCCGACGCCGACCCATTGCACGGTGTCACACCAAGTGCTGGAGTCCGTAGCGTTCTCGTGCCGTCCATGAGCGTCCAGGCTTAGTTTGTGGCGAGCGGCGGTCTCATCGAGGTCGCAAGCCGTCTCTCATACACTCTGTTCTTGTCTAAGCCTCGGACTCCTCGAGAGTCGCACTATCATCCTCACACCGTCGCGCAGGCCGTTCCACGTCGGTCTCCTCTTCCAGGAACCGGTATTCCAATAGAGGCTGGTCGTGGGGATCTGCCGATGTCAGGGTAACCTGGCCCGAACCGGCGGCAAGGTTGAGCATGACGGACATGCGGAAGTCCTCACCCGGGCCGGTCAGGTCTCCCATCGTGTGGAAAAGGTGGTCGGGAATACCACCATGTCGTTGCGCAGGTCGGACCCCGTGGCGGTGTAACGCAAGCCCAACTGGGTCCTTGGCGCATCGAAATTCATGGGGAAGCCCTCCTGGGCACTGAAAGTCACCGGGGCTTGGGGATGGTCTCGGAAGTTCTGTCCCACGCCCGGCAAGTCGTGGACTACCGGGACTCCCACGCCAGCTAAATGGTCCCGCGGGCCCACTCCCGATACCATCAAGAGGTGAGGTGAGGCTATGGAGCCGGTAGACAGGACGATAAGCTCCCCTTCCACCACGAAGGGCTCTCCGCCGCTCTCCACCTCGACACCGGTGGCGCGCTTACCGTCGAACAGTATCCGGGTGGTCAGCGCATTGGGACGGATGGTCAGGTTCAGCCGGTGGCGCACCGGGTTGATGTAGGACAACGCGGTGCTGAGGCGTACGCCGGCCACGTTGTTCATCGGAAGGGGGGCGACGCCAGTGGAGTCGGGGTTGTTCATGTCCTGCCCATCCGGGAAACCTTCGGTCACGCAGGCGTCGCGGAAGGCGAACATCAGCGGCTCCCAAGCCTCTTCCTTGTGCCGCCGCACCCGCATCGGGCCGTCGTTGCCGTGGAAGTCGTCGTGTACGTCAAGTCCGTCTCCATCCGACGCAGAAGGGGAGCAGCTTCACGTACTCCCATTCGTCGTTGCCCTCGGCAGCCCAGGAGTCGTAGTCCTCGGGCACGCCCCGGAGGAACACTTGGCCGTTGATGGCGCTGGTGCCGCCAACGACCTTGCCCCTGGGGGCGTACATATCGTTGGGGCGGTCGTCGGTCGGCTTGCCGACGAATGACCAGTTGTGGGGAGCGTCGTGCAGCGAAGCAAGCTCGGAGTAGTAGCCGTTCTTCAGGTCTTCGGGATAAGTATCAATGTCGGGATAATCGGGCCCTGCCTCCAGCAGCAGCACCGACCGCTCCAGGTCCTCCGACAACCGGGCCGCCATAGCGCAGCCCGCAGATCCGGCGCCGACAACGATTACGTCGTACTTCATGCTCTTCACCTGCCTCGCAAAAATAGGACGCCAAAAGGGGGTTGGTTTGGGCAAGGATAAGGCAACTATGGGAAGGGTTCAAGCGGGGAGGGTCAGGTTGGCAGGGCCTTTTCATTTTCCGGATTGGGTTCAAACGGGTCTCGTCCTTCCCGCGAAAGCGGGAACCTACATGACCGTGGCCTATAGCAATCTTCTCGTGGCAGGACCACATGGATTCCCGCCTGCGCGGGAAAGACGAGAGAATGAAAAGGCCCTGGTCAGGTTGGGGTGTCCGTCAGATTTTCCGCCACGCAACCTGAGACGTTAGATAGCCGGCTGGATTTTTAGAATACCGGACATTTACGGACATCCAGCTTCGACCGTGGGTCAGGATTATTCGATAACGCTCCAATTTCATATCGTTTCCTTCCATTTTGAGCCGCTTGGAGAGGTGTTGAGTTTGCCGTCGGGCCGAGGAATCTCATGTCAGGCAGGTCTATGATAACGAAGCGTTATCGGAGTTGGGAAGGGGCAAGTGTCATAAGAGTTGCCAGTTGATTTGCCAGGATGGACCGGATAGATAGAACCGTATGGACTGCGGGTAAGAATCTGGCCGAGAGTGGCTTAGGATAGTAGCCGAGAAAAAGAGACCTCGGAGTTTTCTGGAGCCTCCGCATTTAGCCAACTCCGTAGTTAGCAGTCAGCCTATACAGGGGCTGACGGGGTGAATGTCCCTTCTCCTGTGTAGTCGTCGGGGAGGAGGCTCCACAAAATTGCCAGCAGAGGAGTCACGTCTTCCAGCGCCAGCTCGACGGTCTTGAGGGTCATATAGACTTCGTAGAAATGGCCGTGCAGGTGTTCCGTAGCCGCACGCCACGGATTATGTCCCGAGACTGGTCGGGGTCTTCGTCGGCCAAGGCGTAAAGGCAATCGCGGATGGCGTCGTGGTCGTAGTGATCCCAGCTTGTCAGGGTGGCTACGGCCTTGCCTAGCTGAGCGACGGTTCCCCAACCTTTTTCAGCGGCTTGGCAGGTGTCTTCTTCGCGCAGGTGCTGGGTGCCTTTGGCCCAGTATTCTTGGGCCTGCGCTACATGTTTTCGGATACGACGTGACTGACTCTCAGGGGTTTCGCGTCGGGGACGGGGCGGCATTTAGTTTCCTCAAGAGACATTAAGTTGAATCAGTTTATCATCGTGGCAGGCTTTCCATCAAAGAAAGGCCCCGGACATATCCGGAGCCTCTTGTGTGTGACCGCGTATGCCGCCGTTGCGGCCTTTGGGGTTATCCCCGCCCGTTCCTGAGCAGGCGGCCGGGGAAGGCGCCGGTGGGTTCGCCATCCTCGAAGGTTATTTCGCCGTTGACCATGGTGTAGCGGTAGCCTTTGGCCTTCTGGATGCGGCGCCACTCGCCGCCGGGGAGGTCTTCGGCCACCTCGCTGGGCAGCACTTCCAGCTTCTCAAGGTCGTAGATTATTACGTCGGCCGGTGCGCCTTCGCGTAGCGCGCCGCGATCCTTGAAGCCGCCGAAATGGGCCGGCAGATAAGACAGCTTGTAGTGGGCGTCCTCCAGCGTTATGACCTTCTCGTCGCGCACCAACCAAGTCAGCATGTCCGTCGGGTAAATGCCGGCGGTCAGGAACTTGACGTGGGCGCCGCCGTCGGAGACCCCGGCGACGATGTGGTTGGAGTCCAGCACCTCGGCGGTGAACTGGGCTTGGTCACGACCCTGCGAGTCGGCGTAGAACTCGGTGGCCAAGTCGTCCTCGACGCACATGTCCAAGAGGGCATCGATGACGTGCTTGCCCTGTTCGTCGGCGATCTGCTGCACGGTCTTGCCGGCCTGCGGGCTGGAAGTCTCGGTTTCGTCGGGGGCCAGCGCAATCATGCGCCCGTCGACGACGTTGACCACGAAGGACTTCATCCGCAGTTCGGGGTTGGTGATGCAACGCCCGCCGTCGTACTCATACTCGTAGCCGTGGGTGTCGCAGACGAACCGGCCCATTTCGCGGTCGATGGTCCCGCCCGCGTGTGGGCAAACTCGCGACAGCAGCCTGTAGCCGTCACGGGTCTTGATCAAGAAGTAGTCGCTGCCGCCGATGCTGACCTTGGGCAGCGCGCCGGTGAAGTCGGACTCCGCGCCGATGTCGATCTTGACCTTGCGGGTCATTACCTGCAGGCTGCCCACGGATCCGGGTACCACCAGAGTAGGCCGAGTGCCCGAGTCCCATTCTTCCTTCAGCTTGCGGCGCATCTCCGGGTCCTGCATCTTGGCCTTGCGGGTGGCTTTGTCGCCCAAGGTCACTTCCCGCCACATGGGAGTGTCGTCGAACAAGTTCCAGTCCTCGAACGTCAACTCGAATCCGCCCCGGCGGGTTGCGCCCTGGCCGTAGACCCGCAGTCCGCGCTCGGCGCAACTCTCGAGCCAGCGGATGCGCTCACGGTGCTGCTCCGGGTGGACGGCGTTGGGGGCGACAGCTTGGTAAAGCACCGGACGCCCGGAAACCTCGGCCACGCGCTCGAAGAAGTTGCGGGTCTCTTCACCAAGCGGCCTGCCTTCTTCGCCGGTCTCCTGGTAGGCAAGCTCGATGAATCCCTCGTCGCGGTCATGGAGGATTTTTGCGAAGGTCAGCACTTCGTGCTCCGACAGCATGTCGGTAATCATTGGCGTGCCGTCGTAGTCGCGCTGCACCGAGGTCTCGCCGAGAACCTGGGCGGACCAGCCGCAGGCGCCGGCATCCATAGCTTCGTGATAAGCCGAACCATTTCCTGCAATTCTTCTTCGGTGGGGCGGCGCTTCTTGGCTTCGTCCCACCCCATGACCCAGGCATACAGCGGAGTCAACGGCACGTAGGTGAGGCAGTTGATGCCCTTGGGAGTGTTGGTCAGGGCGTCGATGAAGTCGGGGAAGGTCACCCAGTTCCAAGGCATGCCCTCTTTCATGGCGTCATAGGGAATGGCCTCGTTGCGGGTCATGCTCAACATGGCGCGGTCCTGGTCCTCCACCCGCGAAGGGGCGAAACCGAACCCGCAGTTGCCCAGCGCAACGGAGGTTACGCCGTGCCAGCCAGACAGAGTGCAGTAGGGGTCCCAGAAAATCTGGGCGTCGTAGTGAGTATGCAGATCTACGAATCCGGGGGCGACGATCAAGTCCTTGGCATCGATAACCCGGTCGGCGGCGCCGCCGTTGAGACCACCGATCTTGGCGATTCTGCCGTCCTTGATCGCGATGTCGCTGACGTACCGCGGTGTGCGGGTGCCATCAACGATGGTGCCGCCTCTGATGATAATGTCATAGTCCGCCATCATCCGCTCCTTGTATTGGTGGATAGGTACGGTTTGAGGTTGTGCCGCAAGTCTAAGTCACGTTGAATTGGAGTGTCAATAATTCTGCATGGTTTGAACGGAGCAATATTCGAAGTAGCGAATTAAGCACTATTGGCGACGAAATACGTATCCAATAAACTCACTGGAAGGACGGGAGGCGTTTTATGTCTCCCAGATGTTGGCGATGCGTGGGCGCAAGCGGCAGCCATGAAAAAAGCCCCGGAAAATTCCGGGGCTGCGGCCTTGGTCAACAATGGCAGGAGCGGGAGGATTCGAACCCCCGACCACTGGTTTTGGGAGACCAGCGCTCTGGCCAGACTGAGCTACGCTCCTGCGTGTCTACTATTATAACTTTTTATGTGCCAAACGGCTATATTGCGGTAACGGTTCTACTCAGGGCCTTTTCATTTTCCGGGTTGGATTACGTGGGTCTCGTCTTTCCCGCGAAAGCGGGAATCCACATCACCGTGGCCCACGGCAAGCTTCTCATGACAAGACTATGTGGTTTCCCGCCTGCGCGGGAAAGACGAGAAAATAAAAAGACCCTGACTATGATACTGCGGAACGTTTCGGTAGCGTTCGGTTGCAAGTGGTATGTTCAACAGCGATGGTGCCGTGGATTCCCGCCTTCGCGGGAATGACGGTGAGGATGTAGGACTGACGGTGAAGGCGCGGGAATGACGGTGAAGGTGCGGGAATGACGGTTGAAGGTGCGGGAATGACGGTTGGGTCAGGGGATGACCGTTGGGTCAGGGAATTAAGGCACCTGAATTGATACACGGCGCCAGGGTTCTACTCCTTAGGCGCAGACCCCAGCACCTTGTATTTTCTGTCGACCGTTCGTTCGGCCGTTGGCAGGACTTCCACCACCACCCTGGAAAGACCCACAACCTCGCCGTCGGAGTCGAAGCTGTAGTTGTTGCCGATGGCCCCGCTCCAAGTGATGTCGTACATGCAGTCGCGGAAGCCGTCCGCATCCTGATCGTCGTTGGTCCGCTTGAGGCATTCCGCGGTAATGTATATGTCGTCGTAGGCGGACCCCAAGTGCCACGGCAGGGTAACGTAGTTGTACCGCTCCCTGAAGTTGGCCAGGACTTCCTGCCCTTTCTCATTGCCGGGGTCCAAGTCGGCGGTGATGGCTTTCATGCCCGTCGCCGCGTCGCCCGCGACTTCCAGGGAGGTCGTTCCCACAGATATTGTTTCCGCGTATATGGGACCTTCGTAGCCCACTTCCCGGGCCTGCTTGATGATGGTCCCGGCGGCGAACTCCGACTGGGGCGCCAAGTGGAGGGCGTCCGGACTGGCGGCGAACAGCTTCTGCAGTTGGGTCCTGAAGTCGGTTATATCGGAAGCGTACCGCTCTTCCGCCACAACCTTTCCGCCCCGCTTCTCGAATTGGGCGACCGAGGTGCGCCTCACGCCTTCGGCATAGTCTGTAGCCTCGGTTATGGTCGCCAGGGTGCGTACCTCGTCCGCCCACAACAGGTTGCCGGTATTTATCCCGACCTGTATATCGCTGATCTGGGTCCGGAAGATGTAGTCGCCGGCGTTGGCTATGTCAGGGTTGCTGGCCAACCCAGAGAACAGGATGATCCCATCCGCCTCCGCCAGCGGAGCGGCCCCAAGCATGGCGCTGCTGCACGATGTTCCCAGGATGATCTTCAACTCGTCCACATCGGTCAATTTGTGGTAGGCGGTAATCGCCTCCTTGGCGCTACATTGAGAGTCCTCCATGATTAGTTCCAGCCTTCGCCCGTTGACGCCGCCGGCGGCGTTGATTTCGTCCGCGGCCATCTGCTTGGCTTGGCTGGCTACCGTACCGTAGGTCTCGCCGGGACCCGTCAACGACTCCATGACCCCAATTCTGAAGCTGCCCGCTTGTTGTGCATCCGTGCCACCGCAAGCCACGACCGACAGCGCCAGAATGAGCATCAAAACGAAAACAATGAATATGCTGTTAGACAACCTTCGCATGGCGCTTTTCTCCAATAGCGCCGCCAACGGCGCAACTGCCGCTATCCGTCCGTGATGAGGCGGGACCTAAGTGACTATCTCAAAGGTAACTAATCCCGCTAACGCCACTCGAACATGGCCGAAACCTATGGATTCCCGCCTGCGCGGGAATGACGGGTTGGGTGTTGTATCATGTTTGTTGGGTACTTACTGCACCATTTTGTTGGGTACTGCACAATGTTTTGAGGCGGGGTCCAATATTACAACGACGGATTGCCAAATATGATGACCGATCCTTCGTATTCGGCCACGAGCGAGAAATCGCGGTAAGCTCATGGCAGTATGGTTCAGGTCCAAATTGGTCGCGAAAATCACCCGGTCAGATTAACCGTCGTTGTAATACTAAGATAATGTACGCTTGGGCCGAGAGTGGGTGCAAGGGATGTAAGCATTGAAAAGGAGTCGCTGGAGGAAATGACCGGCTGGTCCGGTTTTACCGCGCAGTGACGGCCGTGGGCTTGGAATTGGCTGCCGGTGAGCCAGCGTGGCGGCAACCTATGGTGCCAACGGTAATGATGGTACCCCTGGAGGGACTCGAACCCCCGACGCGCGACTTAGGACGCCGCCGCTCTATCCTCTGAGCTACAGGGGCTTACTGGTGGAGATAGGGGGAATCGAACCCCCAACCTCGGCATTGCGAACGCCGCGCTCTCCCTATTGAGCTATATCCCCTGGAAGTTGTCACCCGACCCGGACCCGCCAAGCGTTGGGCCGACCAAGGTCTATTAGAAATCGTAAGTCCGCGAGCCTGTCACTGTCAAGTTGGACCGGCAGCCGCCAATCGGCTTACGGTCTTCACCGGCGCCGCGGTCAATCCACGGTGCCGGTGGCTCGTTAGATGTATCTGAGGGGGGACTTCCTTAACTGGCAACACCGGCGGGCACCGGGCGATGGCCCCAAATACTGCCGTTTTCGTGACGTTGCACTTGCCAAGTGGTGTCGTCCACCGTGCGGGCTCCCCAGCCGTATTCCACATCGAACCCTGAAGGGGTCTTCATGTAGAAAGAGGTCATGTGATCGTTGGTGTGGCGGCCCAGGCCCCTGGTGATCCAAATCTCCTGGTCCTGCACCAAATCGTAGGTCGCGCCCACGTCGTTGATAGACTGGGTCTGCAGCATGAAATGGTTGAGCCGCTTGGGGCGCTTGCCTTCTATGAGCGCCAGCGTGTGGTGCCGCGGATTGCAGTGGAAGAAGACGAGGTTGCGAATGAAGTCGCTGATCTTCATGCCGAGAACGTCCCGGTAAAAAGCGACAGCCCGGTCCAAGTTTTCCACGTGGTAAACAACATGGCCCAGCCCCTGTTCGCCGGTAACGAAGCCTTAAATGGCGCGAGGGGAGTTGAAGGGCCTGTCGAAGCTGATCGGCGGACCGTAGTAAACCTCGGTGGGTGTCCCTTCCGGGTCGTCGAACTTGATCAGCCCTTCGACCTTGCGGGCCTTGGCCTCATCGGGAGTCCCCATAGTCACTTCGACCCCGGCTTGGCGCAGTTGTTCCGCCATTTCCTGCAGGGCCGGCTGATCGGTCACTTGAAAGCCGACGTAGTCGATGTCGTCCTTTCCGCCGGGTGAAAGTACGAACCGCTGGCTGTACTCGTCCATGCGCAAGGTCAGGTTGCCATCGTCGCCAACACCGTTGGACTGAAGGCCAAGGACCTCAGTGGCGAAATGCTCCCACTCCTCAATGTTGCTGACGCTGATTCCTATATATCCCAGTTGGGTAACACTGGCCATCTCTCTCTCCTACCGTCGCCTGATAATGTACATTTTCCCAACCCGAAGGCTAATCAGTCAAATTACCGGATAGTCCAGACAGGGTCTTTTCATTTTCTCGTCTTTCCCGCGAAAGCAGGAATCCACATCACCGTGGCCTACGGCAAGCTTCTCGTGGCAAGACTATGTGGTTTCCCGCCTGCGCGGGAAAGACGAGACCCACGTAACCCAACCCGGAAAATGAAAAGGCCCTGATAGTACAGAACGGCAATCGCATTTCAAATAACGCGTAATGCGATTGCATTGGAGCAGTTCCCTTTGTTCGGTTCCAACAGTCCGATACACGTCAGGCCAAGGCTGTCATCAACGCAGCCATATCCAAGTGCCGGTCTATCAGTTCCCCGAACCTCTCGACCTTATGGATGGAGTGGGAGGTGGCCTTGTCTATTATCCCTGCCAACGCCTCGGCGGTGTTCAAGGTCGAGTCGTCAACAACCATCAAAGGCACGTCACGTTGAAGAGCTTCCGCCTTGATGTACTCCGTAGGGTCTCCACCGCCGGTCAACACCAAGCACTTGGTATCCTCCATGAGGCTTGCCAGTTGGATGTCCGGTCTCTCGGCGCGGACGATGACAGCTTGGTTGGAGTAACGTCCGTAATAAGTAGCGCCCGAGTCCATGATATTGCCACCGAGCAGGAACCGGTCCACGTGGACGCCGGTGTTTACCGGTTCCTGCACCCAGCGCGCGCCCAAGTGGTCGGCGACCTGCTGGACTGTGACGGCTATCATGGTGCGGTCTTCCGGTATCGTGCCGAGCACATTCATCCCAGCGGCGCGGATGCCTGCGACCAGTCCTTGGCCCACCGTGTGGCCGCGGTACGCCGGAACACAATTTATGACCACCCCGGCAATGCGTCCGGCGTAAGGTTCGCAAGCACTTAAGACAAGGCTTGCATCCATGTCGTCTGAGTACCGGACTATCAGCAGGGCGGCGCAGTCCAGGACGGCTGCTATGTCGGAAGACAGAGCAGAGTTAATGCCATCGGCGGACCGGACGTCGGGGCCCTCGACCAACACCACGTCAACAGCCTGGCTCAATTGCCTTACCGTTTGTTGGACCACCGCCAAGTCTGTTTGGCCGGCTGACTCATTTTCGGGCAACAGTCGCGGTGAGGGGATACCCGAAAGGCCGTCGCCGCCCAAGAGATACTCGCCAATAAAGGCGGCGTCGGGGTCGTCATCGGTGTTCAAGGAGAAGGGCTTGTAATACGCGACCCTTTTCCCGGCGCTTTTAAGCTGGGCCAGAAGCGCGCTGATCGTGCAGGTCTTACCGGAACCTGGCTGGAGCGCGGACACTAACAAAGTCGGCAATGGTTCTCCCTGGTAACTTGCGCTCTGGTAACTTGCGCTGGCAGGCCAATGAAAAGCCTAGCCGTTAGACACGTCCTTGAACCCGGTGTCGTAGGGATCGAAACCGTTGGGAAAGAGCGTGGTCTCGTCAAACTTGGCCATGCTCAGGTCAGACCGGTGGAGACTGGCTTGGTCGAAGTTGGCCCCGCGCATGTCGGCCATGGTCCACATCGAGTCACGAATCATGGCCTTGGTGAAGTCGGCCCCTGCCATAGTGGCCCGGTCCATGTCCGCCCCATTCATGTTGGCGGATACGAAATGTGCGTTGGTCAAGTCGGCACTGCGGAGGTCGACTTCTATCATAGTCGACTGGCTGAAGTCCGCTCCCGTCAGGTCCGCCCCAAGGAAGCACGTCCGCATCAAGCGGCATTGGCGGACGATTGCACCGCGCAAGGATGCTCTCTTCACGTCGGCCCAATGCAGATTAACGTTGGTCAAATCGGCGTCGACGATAGCCGCGGACGCCAAAGTCGCCCGGCCCAAGTCGGCTCCCTCCAGGAATGCCCCGGTCAAATCGGCGTTGGCCAGTCCCGCCCTGGAAAGACGGGCCCCACGGAGGTTTGCACCCCGGAGGTTGACCGGTCCGATCTTACATCCCTGCAGGTCGATATTAGCCAGGTCGGCGCCTTCCAGGTCCAAGTTGACGGTGGGGTTTTCCAAACGCCACTGGGCAAACCTTTCCGGTCCGCTTTTTATCACTTCTACGTGTTCTGGGACGGCCAAAGTCTACGCTCCATTTGGGGGATTCACAAAAGATGCAGCCTTAGCAGGTTACCGCAAGACTGCATCGCTCGTTAGCCTCGATTAACTGCTGGGACGGTCTTTAGTTACCGGCCACTGCCGCGTCGAAGTCGAAGATTTTTTCCGCGACCATCATCTTCAGTTCATTTACCTTCGAAAGGTCGGGGAATCCCCCTTCGTCCTCTTTCCGGTCGAAGATTTTCTCGCCGTTCAGGAAGACTTCCAGCCTGCCTGCGCCAGCGGGGGTCATTTTGACCGACACTTCTCCGGGGCTGCTTGCACTCCACAACTCCGTCGCCAGCCACGTGGCGACCGGATAGTATCCTCAAGGCACGCAATAGGCTATATCCACTTCCGCTTTGCCGAATTCAGGGTCAGCCATACTCCTCCTCAGTTCATACCGGGTTTGAGGTTAGTTTAATCAATCGCTATTTATGACGCAAGCAGCATTGGTGGGTGTCCACGTTCCAGTGCTGCGGACATGGCCAATCCACCATTCTGCTTCAAATGCGGATGCCTTTGCGGCCACCCTGGTTTCGCTAGTCGTCTGCGGTAGCAGGCTCTTTCGGGGCGGCTTCGACCAGCTGGTACAGGGTGGAGCGGGCTCGGATTTGCTCATCCCATCCACGGACCCGGAGGTCTATCATCAAGCCATCGGGGCCTTTGTACTTGCGGTTGACGCGGCTGCTGCCGGGACATTCGGTGCCTCCGTTGGACTCGAATGTCGATACCGCTTCGTCCATGTCATCCACATAGAAGCCGATGTGGTGGACCCCCTTGACGGTGGACGGGCCTTCACCAAGGTTGGGGCGTCTTCCGAGCCGATTTTCAGTATGGCGAAGTAGATATAACCGTCGGTAAGCCATACGCCTTCCTCACCGGTGTCGGCGGGGGTGCGCCGCAGTTCATCGAGACCGAATACGGTCTTGTACCACTCGGCGGTAGCTACGGGGTCTTCCGTGTGCAGGGCTATGTGCTTGATTCGTGACGCCATGATGCGCCTCCTCGGACGTGAGTAATTTTGGGAACGGTCACCGCAATATCGCGGTCCCTATGCCTATTGCTGTCTTGTCGCTGTTCTGGTTTTCGCAGTAAATCTCCACCGTAATTTCGGTGCCGGTTTCCACCTCAGTATGATGGCTGACGGCGCCGCTAACGGTGATCGTATCCCCGTCCTTCACCGGTCGCAGGAACTTCAGGTTCACCGAGCCCGTGTGATTAAACACCTCCGGGCCGAAGAAGCGGCGCAACGCCTCCGCGGCGAAGGCTATCGACATGCGCCCGGAGGCGAGGGGTGTAAGTTGTTCCCAGCCGTTGCTGGGCTAATTCCGCGTTGTTGTGGATGTTCTGCCGGTCCAGAATCCCGCAGGACTCGAACTGGAGGATACTGTCCGTGGTGACAGACTTGATGACTGACGGTATGGGAGTGCCTGTCTCTAGCTTTGTGGATGCCATTTCTTACCCACCTCATCGGGTTTTTTCATCTGGTAAGTACGAAGTTTCTCCAGAAGGCGGCCATCCTCGTCGACGGCGGTGGCCTCAATGACCAAGTAGGGCTTGTCTCGCCGCATGTACTTGTCGGCGACCCGGCCGGTTACCTTGATCTTCTTGCCGGGTATGGGCGGGTTGAAAAACTCCACTTGGTTGCCAGCGTTGACGCCTCCGGTGGTGTCGTCGTAAACCATTGCCAGAGCCGTGGCGTCGTGCTTTACCGCCAGGGTGGGAAAGCATCCCTCCGGGTCGTTAATGGAAGCGCGGAAGTTGTCCAGCATTTCCTGGGTCAATAGATACTCGTAGGAACCCAGTTCTTCCCCTATTTCCAATTGGTCGTAAACTAGCTGTTTCAGAGGCTGCTGCGCCATAGCGTAGCTCCTGCGAATAAGAGTGTTCGGGTTTCCATTGCGGGGATTGTCATCTACAGCAATTCCCGCTTGAAGATCATGCGCTCAATTCCCCACTTGCGGCTCCCCAGGACGCCAATGATACCGGACATGGCGAACCAGAGGAGCGGGACTTCGCCGCCTCCTTTGAGGTGCGGCCAAGGCTGCCCGGGGGAGTGCACCATGAAGTAGGCGACCACCATGGTGACAACCAAGGCGCCGGCGCCCAAGCGGGTGAAGACCCCCAGCCCGATGAGTAACGCCGATATTAGCTCCACCCACCCGGCGAAGGTCACAATAGGTCTGTCGGGGTGAGGCATCGGGAAGCCCCAGAGGCCGAAGGCCTTTTGCGCTCCGTGCAGCGCGGCAACGAACGCCAATATCAAACGGAACAGCAGGTAGAACTCTTCGGAAAACCTCAGGAAAAGCCGCCCGAGAACAGGGCTTCCTTGGTCTCCTTCAAACGGTGGGGTCCCCTGTTGCGTTGACATTGCTGGCCTCTCCTCCTACCTGTAGGATTTATGACAGCGACGGCGATGATTGCCGAGTAATTCAGCCTATTTCAGCCTATTGGGGAAGACGTCGGTCTAAAGTCTGCTGTCACTTGGGGCTTCTCCCAGGCTAAGTAGAAACCACTGCCTACAGCAGCTCCCGTTTCAGGATGCGACGCTCGATGCCCCACTTGCGGCTGCCCAGGATGCCTATAACCCCGGCGATGGCGAACCAGAGGATGGTTACTTCGCCGCCGTGGGCGCCAAATCCGCCCTGCATCGGGTAAATGTGAGGCCATACCCCATTATCAGCGTGTACCCTGAAGTAGGCGACGATCATAGTCACCACCAAGGCTCCTGCCCCCAGCCGGGTAAAAACGCCCAGCCCGATGAGAAACGCGGAAATAATCTCTACCCAACCGGCGATGTCCACCAGTGCACCCAGCGGATGGTCTGCCGGAAATCCCCATAGCAGAAAGGCCTTTTGCGCACCGTGCAACGCAACCAAAGAAAGCGAATATCAAACGGAACAGCAGATAGAACTCATCGGCGAACCGCAGGAACAAGCTCCCGAACAGCGAACTTCCTTGACCTTGCTCCAACGTGGAACCTTGGTTTGTTGACATGGCTATTCTCTTCTCAATCAACCTATGGGATTTATGACAGCGACAGCGTTGGTTCCCCTATAATCACGCACTTTAGAGAAGGCAATGGTCAATGTCAAACGTTAAGATACAGCTTGTGGCTTAAGCATCGGCCAAGGCCTATAATTGCTCTTGTAGCCAGTTCCGAACAATCCATCTGAGAGGACAAATGGACCTCACTTTCGACAAGGGCGACCCTCAAGCGCCAAAAGGGCACGCGGTCATGTATTTCCGGGTAAATACGGAGCCCGACAAGGTCTATGCCACCTACGTGATCACCTTGCCGATTAAAGCCGACTTGGGGAAGTATGTTCCGCCGTTTCTGGCTACCCACTTGGGAAACCTGCCTCTGAATGACTTGTCGGCCTTTGCCATGCCCCCGCTGCCTGAGCCGGTGGACAGCTACGAGGAATTAGAGACGTTGTGCGACCAGCGGGCAGATGATCTGGTCTTTGCGACAAGCATGTTCTCCTTCGATTTACCCAGAATGATGGAGTCCATCACGGAAGCGGTTTCCGCCTACTCTGAGTTGTGCAATAAACGGTTTGGGCAAGAAGTAACGTCCAGCGGAGAGGGGCAGCAGCAACTTAATGAAGCCGCGTCTGAAGAGGACCGGTCTTTCGACGTCAATGAGGTAATCTTCAGCTTGATGAGCGAGGCCGACAAGCTGGCTGAATTGGCCAAGCTCCTCGGCAGCCTGCGGTTTGCGGTGGAGGGAGGCGATTCGGGCACCGTCGTCGCGGTCTCGGAAGAGATCAATACGCTGGCCCGCCACCTCCCTGAAGAATTTCGCCTCCCTACTCTGCTCGCGGTAGCCAAAGACACCTCCTCAAAAGGGTCGCGGTTGGCCCAGCTTTACTTGGACCGTTGCTTCCGGTTGTCTGCGGGGGACTACTCCAGCGTCCAGAACCTGGAGGACGAGATACGATCACTGGAAACCCGGGAGTAATCCCTTCAGTCCCATTCCCCAGTCTATCTCCGGCCCCGCCGGCGTAGTCCGTCTCCGGTCAATGGCCCGTCCAAGCCTTACCGCCGCCTGTTACAATTAGGCATCACCGGGTTGGCATCGCCGGACAACGTGTACCCTCGGAGGAATCGAGCGGTTGGCGTACCTTTCTCGCCTGAGCCTCACCAACTTTCGCAACCTGGTGCAGATTGACTTGGAACTGCCCCCTGGGATAGTGGTGTTCTTTGGCCCCAACGCCCAAGGGAAAACCACTTTGGTGGAAGCGGTGTACCTTTTGGCCATTTCGCGGTCGTTCAGGGCTGAGAACGAACGCGAGGTAGTCAACTTCGATGCGGCGGCGGAAGGTGGTCAAGCCCTTGTCGGGGGCACGGTCGAGCGAAAGGAGGACCGTCTGGCGGTATACGTGGGGTACCAGAGCGTCCCTGCCGCAACTCCGGGCTCCGGGGGTTATGCTGTCCGCAAGGAAATCCGCGTAAGCCGGGTCCGTTTTACCGCCGCCCAGTTGGTCGGCTTGGTGACCTCGGTCCTTTTCACCGCTGACGACGTACAACTGGTCCTGGGGGCGCCGTCAATCCGGCGGAAATTCCTGGACATCCTTATTTCCCAAGCCGATAACCTTTACTTGAAGACGTTGCAGCGGTACCAGCGGGTGGTGCAGCAGCGAAACAGGTTGCTTCGCCTCCGCCGGGAAGGACGGGCGGGCGCAGAGGAACTGGTATTCTGGGACGGTGAACTGGTCCGGGAAGGGGCTTGGCTGACTTGGAAGCGTTCCGAGGTAGTAAAACGGTTGAACACCTTGTGCGGTGAGCATCACTTGCGGTTGAGCGGCACCGAGGATGATTTCCGGATGGAATACCGGCCCAGCATTCCGGGGGGCGGGGACCTGCAGGAAGTGGAAGACAGCTTCAGGGAGTCGTTGGCGGCCACCGAGGCACGGGAACGAGCCACCGCCACAACCGCCGCCGGGCCGCACCGGGACGACTTCGGCCTGTGGCTGAATCGGGTAGACATGGGCACCTACTCGTCCCGGGGGCAAGCACGAACAATAGCCTTGAGCCTGCGTCTTGCCGAAGCCGGCTACTTGGCTTCGGTACGCCGGGAGGGCCCCATAATGCTGCTGGACGACGTTCTCTCCGAGATGGACGCGTCGAGGCGGCGCCGTGTTATGGAAGAGACCGCCCGGTACCAGCAAACTCTCATCACCACCACCGACGTTGATCTGGTGAGGGACTACTATGGCTCGTCGGCAGGGTATTTCCGCGTTGAAAACGGTAAAGTTTGTCGTGATGCCTGACGATGGGTTTTACTGTAGAAAACTACAAGACCGCGTGGTCTTTAATGCTTGCGAACTTTGAGGGAATGTGTCAAAGGCGATAACCATCACGCAAGAAACCCTGGATGAAATCGCCCTCACCAGGGCCGAATACGACCTGATCGTGGACCAACTCGACCGCGAGCCTAATCCGGTCGAGTTGGGAATGTTCGGCGCGTTGTGGAGCGAGCACTGCGGCTACAAGCACTCCCGGCCTCTGCTCGGGTTGCTTCCCAGCAGATCTTCCAAGGTTTTGTCGCGTTCCGGGGAAGAAAATGCCGGAGCAGTGGACCTCGGCGACGGGTTGGCGGCGGTGTTCAAGGTCGAGTCCCACAACCACCCTTCAGCGGTGGAGCCCCTGCAAGGCGCGGCGACCGGCGTGGGGGGAATTGTCCGCGACATCCTGGCGATGGGAGCACGGCCCATTGCCCTGCTAAACTCGCTCAGGTTCGGCTCTTTGGACGATGCTAGGACACGGCACCTCTTCCAAGGGGTGGTAAGTGGAATATCCTGGTACGGCAATTGCATCGGCGTCCCTGATGTCGGGGGCGAGATTTACTTCGACAATTCCTATTCCCAGAACCCGCTGGTCAACGCGATGTGCGTCGGCTTGGTACGCACGGAAGACTTGGCGACCGCATCCGCCGGCGCGGCGGGCAACCGGCTGCTGCTGGTGG